AATTGTGACACAATGATTTTTCAATAAAATAATAGGACTTCTACAAATCGCCGTTATACACGAATGTTTTTTCTACTGACAGCGAGCGATATCTAATCACTGCTTGCGCCAATACTATAAATTGTTTTTCTACATTTTTCATGATCGATTATGTGCATAGAAAAATTAGCTGACAGTTTTTTCTATGACAATCGGAATTCCTAGTATTTCTGTAATAACTGCATATCATATTTCTCTATTCAGTAGATAGTAATTCAAAATCATAAACTTCGATATAAACGTGAACAGAAAATTTTTTGTCAATTACTAACGAAGCGCTTACAATTTTTTATTCATGTATAAAAATGCTTTTATATGTTGTTATAATGAATAACGTTAGATAAGTATTAATTCGTAACATCTAACTGGATAAATAGATGAATAAATGATATCGCATTTGCACGAGGACACAGCAAAATTGCAGAAAATCTGTCTCGATATAACCAGCCTCTCCGAAGAGGCCTCCCGCTTACGGTGGCCCAAGGAAAATTATATGAAACGACTTCGTCACGGCCAGGACTCGAACCCGTGACCCATCGTGCATCAAGCTGATGCTTATGTTGTTTTAAATTATCAAATAGAAAAACATTCAGCTAGTGACAAATTATCTATCTTTAGAAGTGAAGTAAGAGTTTGGGTTGAACGACAGCATTCCTGCTTAAACATACCCATTGAAAAAGGCTAAATCCTCTTCAAAAATTAAATAGGAAATATCATATTTGAATAGGAAATGTTGAGAAATTTTCGCGCTCCGCAAAATGTCTAATAGGATTACACAAATCTGAATAGGTAAAGAAAGAGAGATTGTAAAACAATCACACAACTGAATAGGATTATGATGATTTTATAAGGTAGTTAACAATTCTATAGGAAACGAAAAGTTTCTATGGGAAATGGAAGAATATACTTGAAAAGGAGACTAAGTGAGTGAATAGAATAATACGACTTAGAAATTTCTTTCAGTTATCTATCAAACCTCAATAAGATTCCACATTATTTTACAGGATTGACTTCTTCAACATCACACAGTCTAAAAAGTACTTCTTGTTAACGATAATCACATTTATTACCTAACTGTCCGATACGAGCTTATTTGATAGCTGAGCCATGATTTTTTTATATATTCCGAATACTTGAAGAAAAGTTTTTTAATAAATTTCATACTAGTCAATGTTTATTAAAATTTTAACAGTTTTATGAATATCCAAGGCTAGATATAATATAAGTGTTAATTACATATTGCAGTCAGTAAGTGCCTACTTGAGAGAACGCGAAATTTGCAACTTTTACCCATAAAAAAAAATAAAACAGGCTAAATATTTTTCAGAAAACTTCTAGCTTTCAATCTTCAAAGACAGATATCTTTTTAATGAACGCATTAAAAATTATCATCGGTGCTACAAACGAAAGTTCATAGACGATTTATAAAGATGATGATAGCATAATTCGTTTCTAGCTTGCATAATTTCCAAGTTAATTAAAAAAATAAGATTGCGGAGGAAAGAAAAAAACGATATTTTGTGTATAAGAGTGTTTGCTTGTTGTACGACATGACAAACAGAGAGACAAAAAGGAGAAGACAAAAAGTGCAGAGTGACATTGGGTGAGTAGCAAGCTGTTATTCTTGATAGAAAACAGCCTAACAAGTACATTTTCCACAATTGTTCCCGATTTCCAAATAGAAATCTTTTCGTCAATCAATAATTCACTGGCGACTAATCATTTGTAGACATAGCTCATCTCAAATTGATTGATATTCTTTTTTAATTTCAATCTGCTGTTTCGTATTTTTACATATATCCATACACAAGCACTATACCCCTGCTTAAACGATCCTATAAGTAGGAGAAAGTTCAATAGGAAAATTGCGTCAGAAATTTCCTATGAAATTCTATGAAAGGTTTTTTTTTCCTATAGAAAACTCTTGAATCTTATTAAATTTCTCGATAGGATTCAATACTATCTGTTACAGTTATCGTAGAAGGCGAAGGAATAGTGTACCTAGGCGTTCAATAAATTTTAGAGGACACGCTTAACATTAAGAAGTAGAATATATTGAATATTGAATGAAGAAAAATAAAAAAAAACAGTTATGGAATAGAAAGATAGCTGACCAACAGCTTACTTGTTTACACTAAGGACAACCTTATCTCTTATACATTAATACACAATATTGATGAGGCTCGCCCCTCTCCTAAATACCTTACATTTGAATTCGACAGTTATTTGGAGTACGAAAACTCAAACATCAACACTATCTAATAGGAATATTGTTATCTTGGAATTTCCTATAGGATAATCCAGAATCTTATCCGATTCTTCAATGGGACTATAGTGAATTTGATAGAATTTCTGAGATGGCATTTTCCCCATTGAAAAAAAATGATTCCTGTCGATGCTTCAATAGGATTTGATACAGTATAATAGGATTATTGTTACCTCAGAATTTCCTATGAAATCGATAAGACTGAATGTAATTTAATAGGATTTTTAGATGTAACGGATTCCTATTCGATATGTAGAAATCCGTTTAACTTTGTAATAGGATTGAACATTATTTAATATTCTTTTAATACTGTCAAAATTTTCTATTAAATAAAAGGTATTATTGATAAGAATTCAAACATTAGTCGAGTTTACTTCCCAGCAAGTATTCCAAAATAAAGCGAAATAATTGTTATTTATATAAATACAAAAAGTGGAATTAAATAAACGTAATGTTCGAATTGTTCTGTAATCTTCTATATTTTTTCAAAAAATAAATGTGTTTTCACGATTAAATTTTATTACAAAAATAAAAAAAGTTATAATCGAAATCTCTTCTTATGCTATTTATTGTGCATGTGTTTTAATTTGAATTTCCTGCTATATTAAGTAGTTTAATGCGCATGCGTGTGAAACAAAGCTAGAAACGGTACTTTCTAGAGAGGATAGACGAATATAGAGGCTCAACGTAAATGAACGCTTACAATCAGACGTTTTACACGTGTTAGCCAAACTTCTATATGGGTAAACGCATCCGTGTTAGCCGTTAGCATCTTTGTTCAGATTTTTAACCCAGGGTTGAGCTTCTTATGGTAGTCTCTTTTCTCTGGTACTTTCAATTTCTATCAAGAGACACGTTTATTTTAGTAGTGTCTCGAGCGCCAAGTATGAATAGCGGTGACGAAGGCACTACTGTGTCTCTATTCCGCTCAGATTAGCACTTTTGAGGTTATGCCCCTTAAAATTTCTAATTTCTCAGCAATAATGACATAAACTTTATTAAAAAATCTTTGAAAACCCTATTAATTAGCTACGACAATAAATTCCAATTGCTATTGTGTCCTGAAAATCATTCATTTGCAAAAATAAAAATTGGCCACGCCCCTTGGACCGCATTTTAAGTAAAAAGAATCTTTTTCCTTAAAAGTACGACTTTTTTTTATAAAGTTGGTACTACTATAAAGTTGCTACATGACTATGGAAAATATTATGTTGGTAAAAAACGAAAGAATTACTGAGGCGCCAAATTATGAATGTTAATTTTTTTTGGTATAAAAAATTAATAAAAAGTAATAAAGTTTTGGGGAGTGTATCAATAGGGGGGGATATACCGTGTACCTATTACTTGAATAAAACAATCATCTTTCAATAAATGTTCTTTTAGCGCTGGTGAGCGTGTTGAAGGCTCCTTTCTGTCAAACGTACCTACACATAAATCAAGTAAGTACGGTAGTTGATAGTAGCTCAATGTTGATCTTGAATTAACATTACCTCCTTCAAATATTTTTTTTCGAATATACTTGTACAGTTTATAGCTGCATTACATGCTTTGGTGTTATCTGTTTAGCAAATCTTATTGTGTAAACATTATTAATTTACATATTATAAGTGTTGGCTTTCAAGTTTATGAAACAGAAAAATTGATAGTCAGTTCTTTATTAAACATGACTGATAAAGAGGTAAATTAATCATAAATTGTCAGACGAAGATATTTTATTAGCCTCTCTATTTTCTATTACCAAAAACAGAATTAAAATAAATTTTTATAGTTTTTGTCAGTACACAATGACTATAAATACATGAATTATTCTTATGTAATATCACATACACTCGAAATTAATTTAAATAATAATATATTATAAAAATATAATTAAAATTAACAAATAATTTCAATTATGTTTATAACTTACCGCTTATTTTAACAACTTTTATATCTTCGCCGTGCACGCTGCAAACTGAATTTTCATGACGGAATTTCTTCGGAACAAATAATAAGGGGAAAATTAAAAAACTGTTAGTTTTATACCACCAAATTTGAGCGAATTTTCTTATATCTTCCACCATATTTGTAGTAATAAAAATAAAAATTAACTCTCACTGAACTTCTACAAATGACGTTTGATTTAATCACGAAGGCGCACAAACGAAACACGTTTAAGTTAGGTTAGTCAAGTTAGGTTGGGTGCGTCACTATGCTGCAGTGTCACCACCAGCTATAGATTTCCGATGCGTGAATCACGTTAACCGGCAAATGTGAGGATGATAGCGCTAAGCAAAGATGCCGAACTATAACTGACTGCATTACGCTAAGGGGAAATTTTAAATTTATGGTGAAATATGGCTGCAATGCGCCAAACTTGGCTTTAAATGATGCTAGTTCATTCAGAGCAGTTATTAGGTACTTCTTGTTAAAAATTATTAACTGCACGGTTTACTTTTTATTTGAAAAAAATATCGTGAGAAATTTTCATCTCCAGTTTTTAAAAATGTCCCGCAAGCCATTAGAAGATCTTGGAAAAAAACAATATCGAGCTCGGTTGACTCCTCTTATTAACAGATTGAATGATATTCAAAACAAAAACTCAGACTCTTTAAGGTTAGTACAATGTATTCTTTTATTCTTTACATTATGGCGTAAGAACCACAAAAAATTTAAATTAAATATGGCAATATATTTTAGCAATCAAGATGAAATAGAACGTTCGGGGAAAGCTAACATGGATTATACTGGGGACATTAATGATGTTTACAACATGCTCACAGGAAATACAGGAAATGAGCACGAAAATCATGTGTAAGGCTACAGTTTTTATACCAAAATTAGTAACTAAATAACAGTTGTATAAACTTTTTTAGTCAATAAATGATAACTTATTTAGATTGGTTGGTGAAATATTGGAGTACGAAGAAATTGATGATCCACTACTCATGTACCACAACTACGATCAAAGAAATGGAGAAAATGATGAATTTGAGTTGGATTTTGGTGCAGAAGATCAGCCGAATATTACTACAGATCATGACGAAGATATCGATGATATCAGTGATTTGGCTGATGATCCACTTTATGATAGAGCAGAAATCACTTTACGTGAAAGTATGCTAGCCATTTTAAGTATGGCTTTAAAATATAATTTACCGAAAACATGTGTTGAAGGAATGATCGAATTTGGACAACTACATCGTTCATCAAGTGAACGGCGGAAGGTTAAAAATGGGTGAAAAATCTTCAGTCCAAATATTCCCGTATACTGAAACAATAGAATTAAGAACTTCAAATCAATGTATTCAATATGCTGCCGACGCAACAGATGATGATCCAAATCATGGTGTCAAAAGACATGCGGCTTTTTCTAAGTTGATGCCTAATTTTGTGAGAGGAATGGCCATCGACAGAATGCATGCTGTAGATGGCGGAGTAATGAAAAAATGGTTGACTCTGTGGTGTGATTCGTCATATAAAGATAAGCCCTTCTCATTACATAATAAACTTGATGAAATTAATAAGCGTTTAAACATAATAAAACCTCTCAAATTTATTCACCGTATGCTGAGAGGAGTGAATGAGTTAACGCACTGGAAAACCTCTGAATTCAAAAATTTCATGTTTTATTATTCATTGGCAGTATTTGAAACTATAATGAGTCCTCAATATTTCAATCATTACTGATTGCTACTAATGGGAATTTATTTACTAAGTAAAGACGAAATTCACGAAAATACAATAGATATTGCTGATGATTTTTTGAATCGTTTTGTAAGAGAATTTGATACACTGTACAATAAACGATTTTCCTCGATCAATATTCATACACTATTACATCTAGCCAATAGTGCAAAAAAATTAGGACCTCTATGGGCTCATACATGTTATGAGTATGAAAACATAAATGGAGAATTATTGAATTTTATTCATGGTACAAAATGTATTGATTCACAAGTAGCGAATGGACATAACTACTTAATTAAAATAAGTAGTATGATAGATAGTATACAAAATTATAAGGTCTTACAATTCTGCACTAATAAAAGAAATCAATCTCAAATAAATACAGAAATAGATAATAATACATATTCAGTGGGAATATATAAACATTTAGAAACAATACCTGAAAATATTTGAAATGCTTTTCGAAACATTGGAAAAACAATCAATAATATTACTATGTGGGAGTTTCATAGATTACTCAAAATGAATAAATTTTATATAGCAAAAAAATACCAACGTCGTATGCAGACTGACACTTCTGCAGTTCATTATTATGATGGTAAAAATAGAAAAATTGGTATTATCGATTGTTTCGTTAAAGTTTTACAATGTCTGTGTATGCGAGACGATTGTTACTGCAAGTTCGAATATTTTGCTGTCATCCAACTAGTCAGTAATGTTAATGTTTATACAGCTGATGATGACAAATATCGATACGATAGTTCAGGTTATTATAATCAATGTGACCCAACGGAAAATATCATTGTAGTTGAAATTAAAAATCTTATTACACCATGTGTATTTATAAGTATTGATGAACATCATCAATATTGCATTAGTCCAATAAATTGTAAAGAAATAGAATAAATCATATGTAACTTCAAATATTTGTAATTGCAATTGATTTCTTATTACCCTTACCCTAGTTCTTTTATTGAAATACCATACATTTACATTAAAAACGTTGTTACTGCAGTAACAGCGTTCCAAATTAACATGTTAATTTGCAATTGTTTCTGTTCTTTAAAATCGTAAAAAATGTAACCAATGTCAATTTAAGATTCGTCAATCGAATTTTATAAATCATATGGTTACATTGGAAACATTGCCACGTTCTTTTTCAACATTGCTTATATTGCTGGGAACAATCTGCAATGCAGCTAATGTGAATTAACGATTTGTCTTCAAATCTTTAGGAAATCCTGTACATACATTGCTAACATTGCTTTATATTTTTTTAATATTGGTTATATTGCCACAGATCATTAGCAATGTAACCAATACAAACTCAAGATTCACATTTGAAATTTTTATTAATCTTACTTTTACATTGGTAATATTGCCATATATTTTTTTGATATTAGTTACATTGCTGCAGATGATAAGCAATGTAACCAATATAAACTCAAGACTATAAATGAATTTTTTAATAACCTTATTTTTACATTGATAGTATTGCTATATATTAATTTGACATTGCATATATTATTTTCAATGTAACTATAAGCTTACCAATGTAAAATAAAATTTTTCAGCAATGTATCTGTTCTGACTTCGAGTCGGCTGGACGAGCAAACTGAAAACTAGTGGACTGTAAGATTTAAGAGCAGAATAAGAACAAAAGGTTGGATGCTAGAAGGTTCCAAGAAATAGTTTATTAACACCGAACTGCTTGGGTTTTATAGATTTTATTCAACAATAACACTTAACATAATCAATAGAACTTAATAACCACTACATATAATTGAGTTGACTGTACAGTAATTGTTCATACACTTCTGAATTGTCTGATGGTTATTTTTTCACCAAAAAAATAGTCTCAAAACAACAGTGAATAGCAACATTCACAGTATACACCAGAGTTGTTCGAGGGTGCGATGTATATGTGAATGTCCGTGAGGCACTATGGCGTCGACGCCAGTTCAGCTTCGCGCCCAAAGACACTACAACTGAATATACTGGACCACTGGCACTGATGAGAGTAATTTGATGATTCACGTATGTTCGTGAGAGTTGTCTGAGTCTATTTGACCGTACTTTTTTGTACAAAGAGTGAGCTGACTGCAAAAATCTGCGATTTGACTGCGAACGATTGTTCAGAGATGACCGCGTGATTTGCCTGGAGCTAACTGACGCCACAAGTGCTCGACCGCGTGCTTGTTGGCGTCACTAGGGCCGTAGAGTTGCCTTCTGGGCCATGAGGGAATTACTTCCCGATGATTGGTCCATTGAGTTGACTGACGCGCCGGTGGACAAGTCCGGCATTAACCATTTTCAAATATTCTGAGACTTGCTGACTTGGGGCCCTCCAAGTCAGAACAGTATCCAATATAAAATAAATATTATAGCAATGTAACCGATGTTAAAATCAAAAAAATTTTTCGACTCGGGTACTTCAAAAGTCTTTCCGAGCTCGGAATGTATTAGCGCAAGAATTCTTCTAAGTTTTACGCGCTTTAAATGTTAGGAAATTTTTCTAAATTTTAGGCCCAATAATCATATATATAGATCGAACATTACACGTTTGTAATGTCAAGAATATGAATGCACATTTTCCGATTTATTAAGGTAATTATGTGGGAGATAAAAATTTTCTTTCTCCCAAATAATTAATTTTTCTCCCATTCTTTTGAATTTATATCTCCCACATAATTACTTTAATCGATCTAAAAATGTGCATGCATGTTTTTGATATATTCGAGAACATGTATGCCGATTGTCGCACGTTCCTAATGAGCGGAAGTCATTTATAAATATTTAAAATAAAAGAATGGGAGAAAAATTGATAAAGAAAAAAAAAATTTCTCTAAAAATGTAATTTAATATCTTACTTTTTGAAATAAATCGCCAAAAAGTAATATTTCTAACATTAAGTATTTTATTAATTTTCTTAGACGCGACTGAAGCTTTTGTCAATAGTGAAGCTTCAGTCGCAAATAACTTTTTATCTATCATAGATATGAAAAAAAGTGTTCAGTACTTTTTTTATTAAAATTACATTCTGAACAAGTTTTATTTAAAACATTTCTTCATATCTATCATAAAAATCGAGAAATTCGCGATGGGGGGTGGTTTTTCGCAATTTACTCCCCCCCCCTCCCTATGCGTGCCAAACAATTTTAACCTACACCATTGTGTTTTTCGCAAAATGTCCGATTCAGTTATCTATAAATCATCAATTTGGCCGCAGCAAACCAAAATTATCCTATTTCCCTCATTTGACTGGACTAAAAATCTCAAGCTGCGAAACAAAATGTAAGAGTTATTTTATTGCAATAACAATGAAGTAAAGTACAACCAAATGAACATTGTCATTTTATAGTTCAATGTCTTGTTCCAGATATTACACATCAAAAAGAAAAAAAGAAGAAGAAGAGGAGTTGGAAAAGAAAAGAAAAAGGTTCGACAAATTATTAAAAATATTAGGAGGAAATTAAATAGATTTAAAATCATGTTTTCATGTTTTTTTGAATTTTTCATAATTTTGAGGTACAGATAATTCAAAATATATACTTTTTTAGTAAATGAATAAAAAAATATAAAAAAAAATAATCAATGGATATTCTACTAATCATAATGAATATACTTTATATCTAATAAATACATGTACTAGAGGATGATTGAATAAATAAACACAATAAACGGTTAAAACTGTTCCTACTCTACGAACATTGTAAATTTATTGCTAGCACATTTCGAAAGGGACACAAATGTTATATGACCAAAATGTTCAGGACAGTATAGTTCTGGTATAAATGTCGCTCCAGTACAATAGTATAAGGCATTAAAGACGCAACAGTTAAAATTATGTTAAAATTATTAATAATTTTGTTCAAAATTACTTTTTATTTGAATTGAGTTTTTGGGAAAATTCTCAATATAGATTTACAGAAGAATTTAAATAGTTATTTTGTTGACTTTTGATTCACTTTCATGTGAATGCAGCATGAATCTTCTGTCTACTTACGACTTCATTCTGAACGGTCAATTTCCCCCTAAAGAAAACCAAAGTGTACAAAGTCTAGAGATTGTTATTTATTTTATAATGTTTAACGAAAAATTAAGTGACTCATGAATGATAAGTAAGGTAGCTTATCTATTTTTTACATTTAATCACATTAATTAAAAATTGAACATAATAAGTATTCCTTTTCTTTTATTTGTAGGAAATTCTCATGAAAAAAGTTGATGGTGGAAATGCAATAGAAGAGAAATTGTATCCTACTAAATTGAAGGAAAAGAGAGGAGGAAAAATTTAAAGAATAGAACTAAAATTTATGTGTTCATATGAATTATTGCACTAATTATTTTACTTACATCTCCTCACTTATTACTTTTTAGATTTTATAAGTTAAAATCAGAAAAGGCGCAAAAATCTAACATGCCGGAAAATTTAAGGTGCGGCTTCTAATTCTGAACCTGCGTGGATGTTATGCGCGACGATCGATCATACATTCCACGCTGTCATTATGCCGTGTCGGTATTATGCCGACCGAGTTTTTCGGTATCGAAAACGACAAATATTTATGTACATTTTAAGTTGATAGGTAATACATAGAATGTATTACCGATGGTTTTACGTTTTTTGAAAACTAATTCATGTCCTTCAATCAATAATTTTGTTTATATCTCAAGATCGGTAAGAGATATCAATTTTTAACTTCCCAGTGGGAAGTTATAGTAATGGGTCCGATTTTGCGAATCGCTAATTTTGACATATCTCCACGTTTTAAGGTCCCCAGAGTTGAATACGATAGTTTTTACGTGGACGTCTGTGTGTGTCTATGTACGTAT